TTAAAAATTCTTAAGCTCACTGCATCCCTTCAGGTCTCCAAGGAACGCTAAGTTTCCTCCCTGTCGTGAGAGAGACGAAGTGAACTTAGTGTTGGAAGACGGAAGCTGGATGGCCCTCAGGGGCTGACCCGCAGGGTGCCTGACTTTGGGATATAGCAGAGAGAGTTTGGCACAACCTATTACTCCAGGCTATCGAATCCTGGAAAAGAGCTACCATGAAGTCCACGCCTGGTCGACTGAAGGACCACCTTAGTGGAAAGGGGACGATCTGGGCCTCTGGCCTGCCATGTGCACAAGCATAACAATTGCTTTTGTTTAACAGGCCAATGGTATATTTGATTCATTCCAACCAGGCATTTGCATCTTGGTATCCTGTCTTAATTGTCAACGTTTGTTTTAAGTCTTTAACTTCTATGATCCTCTAATAAAATGAATGTATGATTTTAGGAAATTACAAAAACTGGTTGGGGCGGTCCATCCTTGCTCTTTAGTGGCCCACAGAATGTTGGACCAACTACGGCATGAAAGCTCTACACTGGGGAGCGAGACTCCTGGTTGACACTGGGGTCTTTGTTGAAATCTCCTCAGATAAAATGGTCCTAATGTACTAATGCCTAGTCTGAGGAGAGTCAGGAGGAACAGAGGTACTTTTCTGAAGTAGAGGGCTGTCTTTGACTTGGCAAGTCCCCACAAGGTATAAGGCAAGCATTAAATGCGATAGTTTGAGGCGAAATTGACTTGGTTATGTTAATAACTAGATGGTCAGCAACAGAGCGAGGAAAGAAGATGAGTAATAGAATAGATGAAAGAGTTAAATTTTTCTTAGCTTTAGTTTGGTAGGGTTTTCCCCAGGACTATGGTCCATGACTCTCGAGCGGTGGCGCTTTCTTGACTCGGGTGTGATGAGTCCATCCCTTTTCTGCTGTACAAACAGCAGTCTCGGTGGTTGGCAGCACAAGGTAGGGTCCTTCTCAGGCTGGCTCAAGTTTTTCTTTTTTCCACCCTTCGATGAGAACGTAATTTTCAGGCTGGTGCTGGTTTAACAGAAATTCTAGGGGTGGTACATGTGCTAAAAGACTTAGTTTTGAGGGAAAGGAAAGTGCAAGATAAACCAAGTATATAATTTCTAAGAAATTGACCTTTGGTTTTAAATGTGGGGACATCAGCAGCGGACTTTATAGTACCTTGGTGTCATCTTACTGAGAAATTTCCTTTAGCAACTATTTTTATTAGTTTTTAGACCAAAGAAAGCCAAACACCATTTTATATTTGACAATGCTTTCTGTATGACTTTTATACCAGATAAGCTAAATTTCACCTTTATATTAGTGTGTTATTAATGTTAAACTTAGTTTTAATAAAACTTTGTAGACATATTTATTTAATTTTTAATGTCTGACCATAAGGTAAGATTTTTATAGACTCTTTTTAACCTTTTATAATTTTTGTAAAAGAGCAGGTTAGTGCTTTAAAAAAAACCCATTGTGTTTTAACTTTAATGTCCAGTTCACTGAGAAACTGGATGATACCGCTTTAACTTTAGCTCATGTTTACACACAGAATTTTCTTTATAGTTAACGTTTTAAAACTTGCTTAAACCTTCAAACATTTTTTAACCTTTTTTTTTTTTTTTTTTTTTTTGAGACGGAGTCTCACTCTGTCGCCCAGGCTGGAGTACAGTGGCCGGATCTCAGCTCACTGCAAGCTCCGCCTCCCGGGTTGACGCCATTCTCCTGCCTCAGCCTCCCGAGTAACTGGGACTACAGGCGCCCGCCACCTCGCCCGGCTAGTTTTTTTGTATTTTTTTAGTAGCGACGGGGTTTCACCGTGTTAGCCAGGATGGTCTCGATCTCCTGACCTCGTGATCCACCCGTCTCGGCCTCCCAAAGTGCTGAGATTACAGGCTTGAGCCACCGCGCCCGGCCATTAACCTTTTAATGTAGGTAAAAATCCACATTTTTATGCCTCTTTATAATCCTTTTACTAAAAGTATATTTTACTTTTCTTATATACCTTGCATATAAACTGTTTCTTCAATAGTTTTACATTCAGGAGGCCTAATTACTTTTAAATTATACAACATTTCTTGCATAAATTCCTTTTTTATAACACAAGTTTTTTTTTTCTTGTTTCACTACTTTCACAGACAATTCTTCGACATGTCTCAACTTTCTGACTTATGCAAACATCCCTTTCTTTAAACAACCAGTTAATTTATTTTAGGACAAGAATTTACTATATAACATTCTTTTTACATAAATTCTACCCCCCTTTTCTCTCTCTCTTTTTTTTTAACTTAGGATAGTTCTGAACTGGTGAGGTGTGCTCACAATGAGGTTTCCTTTAAAAGTTATTTTTCTACTTTTTTCTGTTAGCAAAGCTGTTGCCGCTACAGATTGAATGTATTTGGGCCATCCTGGGTTACTGGGTTAAGGAATTTTGATAGGAAGGCTATGGGTTGTCAGGTGCCTCAGTGCTATTGGGCTACGCCCTTGTTTACACTGACAACAAAGTGGTATTGGGGTGTTATATGGTCATGGAGAAGACCTTTAATTATCAATTATAGGTTCTAAATTTACCTTGGCTTTTAAAGAAATAGCATACACTCTTTTTTTCTTAACTACTTGTATATCTTTCTCTTTCTTTCTTCTGTCTCTGTGTCTTCCTCTCTCTCCGCCTCTTTCTCTTTGACTCCCTCTTTGTCTCTTCCTCTCTCTTTTCTCTCTTTGCCTGTTTTCCTCTCTCTCTTTTCCCCTCTCTTTTCTCTCTCTGCTGGTCTTTCCTTGCCTCTGCCAGCCGCTTCTGCTGCTGTTCTCCTCTCTCCTTCCTCTTCCCCTAAGGGAGGGACCGGCGGGAGTGGAGCTAGTCTTTCTTCCTTGGCTGTCTGTCCCTTTGCTGCTAGTACTACTGCTGCCTGTCCTCTTAACCACTGTGGGGGGTCTAAAACTAGCTGCAACCAAGTATCTAGGTATGGAAACTGATCTGGGTGTCCTGATTTACCAGTTACTTTGTGCCATACCTTTGAAACTAGGGACCTGTCTAGGCTTCCTTCTGATGGCCATGCCACCTCTAATGCCGGCCAATCTATCTCACACAAAGCCTTAAGCTTTCCAGGTGTCATAGTGATTCCATAGTTCCCACTGAATCCTTTCTTGAAATTCTTTAACATAGCCCCTAATGGGGTAGACTTACCTTGTGTTTTACTCATTGTCCTCTCTCAGGAGACAAAACAACACTCTTACCACAACGAGGGAAGGGAAAAGGGGGCAAACAGTCACTCACTCCCCAAGCAATTCACACTAAAACCAAAGTCTGGATAAGGAGTTACTCATTCATCAAGCAATTTGAGCCAAGTCAGAACCAAAATCAAAGCCAAACAGTTCAAATCCAAAAGTCAATGCCGAAATCTAAACCAAAACAGTGCAAACCTAGTCAAAATCAAAACCAAAACCAAGGCGCCGATAAAGGCATGCCGTGGGTCATCAGGCCAGGCTTCCACTCAGATGGAGTGGGCAAGTTCCAAGACCGGTCTTACCTGTTGCAGATGTCTGGACTCCAAGAGCCAATTCCTTGCTGGTGTTCAGCTGCTGTGTTAATCCTCCGTGGGGGCCTACCATGAGCTGCTGTGGCGAGGTGTTCCACCAGGGCAACTGTCCACCCAGGAGTGCTCTCAGGATTTGCGTCACTAAAGCCGGCTGGAGTCCCCTGCAGGGATGCTCCACAGCACAGGCCTAAGCCACCTAAAGGGCTGCCTCGACCTCCTGCTAATCACCTCATTGCCCATCAGGGAACCGAGAAATGTAGCAGGACAAGCCGCAGACAAAACCCCTCAGACACCGAGTTGAGGAAAGAAGGGGCTTTATTTGGCCAGGAGCATCAGCAGACTTACAAAACTGAGCTCCCCGAGTGAGCAATTCCTGTCCCTTTTAAGGGCTTACAACTCTAAGGGGGTCCACGTGAGAGGATCGAGATCAATTGAGCAAGTAGCGGGTACGTGACTGGGGGCTGCATGCAGCAATAATCAGAACGGAACAGAAGAGGACAGGGATGTTCACAGTGCTTTCCCATACAGTGTCTGGAATCTATAGAAAACACAAGCAGTGAGGTCAGGGGTCGATCTTTAACTACCAGGCCCAGGGCGCACGCCAGGCTGTCTGCCTGTGGATTTCATTTCTGCCTTTTAGTTTTTGCTGCTTCTTTCTTTGGAGGCAGAAATTGGGCATAAGACAATATGAGGGGTGGTCTCCTCCCTTATGAACAAGACAGGTTTGAGCTGTGTGGGTTCAATTATACTCAGATTTTCTCCTGCCTGTGCCAACCCTGAAACAGTAAGAGCAACCCCTCCTCTTCCTTCTCCTCAGCCTACTCAACGTGAAGCCGATGAAGACAAAGACCTTTATTGTGACCTTTATTCCACTTACTAACAGTATATTTATTTTCCCTCTAATGATTTTCTTCATAACATTTTCTTTTCTCTAGGTTAATTTATTATAAGAATACAGTCTATATTACATATATCGTACAACAGATCTGTTAATTATCTGTGTTGTTGGGAAGGCTTCTGGTCAACAGTAGGCTATTAGTAGGTAAGATTTGGGGGAGTCAAGTTATATGTGGATTTTAACTGTATGGGGTATTGGCTCCAGCCCTGTATTGTTCAAGAATCAACTGTAATATTTTCATAGCACTCTGGAATTGACAGAGGGGCTCCTGGGGCTGGAGGTGTCCTGTCTGGGGCTCCAGTTGCCTCAGTTCTCTCTTCCATGGGCTGAGGGGGATCTACAATTGTGGCATGCCTTGGGAATGTTAGCGGAAAGGTATGGTGACTCTATGGGTTCCAAGTGTTTTGTGTCCCAGGATATTCTTATCTCTAACCCCCATCACTTCCAGTAACCTGATGTGTTCCTCCTCGAAAGAGTTCAGGCAAGGGTCCTGTTCTGTTCCCTTTTAGCAGCCAAATAACCTTCCCATTAACCTGGAAAAACAAAGACAAAAGTGGCCTCTTTTGCATGTTATTTATTCACATTCAACTAGCTACATGAGGGGGATGAGCAAATTAACAGGAGCTTTTTGGGGAGGCACAGAGGTACGGATGGAAGGGTGGGATTAAAACAAAATAATTTTCAGTGGTTAAGTGGAAGATTTACAAATATCTATTTAAAAAGTATCTTCTGGATAAAATAATCAGAAATAAAATAAATTAGCCACTTCTGATCACTGCATTTCCCCAAAGTCTCTGAAAATGGTTTGCACTTTAGACCGTCATGATTTGCAGATATTTACATGACACAGGTTTCCAACATAGAAAAATGAAGACTGAGTAACAGATTAGTACAATGCAGAGGAAAATAGAGCAAATAAAAATAGCTATCATCTGGTAACAAAAATAGATTTATGCCGGTGTTAATATCAAAATTAAAGACATTCAAACAAATTATGCCAATACATTGGAACCATTATTCCTAAGACTATAAGGACAACTTCTTATTGCTTCTACTCATAACCAAAAGGTCTGCAGAGATTCTGTGGTAGCCAGAAGGCATAACTTGTAGTGTATGTAGTAGGGGCTACATCAAGGTTCAACAGCCAAATAAAAACTTTATTATTTTTATTTTAGGCTTGACATCTTTAACAGTAGAACAAGACCACTCATGATAAATCTGGAAGATGTAGATGGAGGACAGTGCTTGAAGCCCAAGCAAATGATTTACTGCAAGTAATTAAAAGCAGAATATGAGAAAAGCAGCAGCGTAAATGAAGTAAACATTTTTTTAAAAATTAGTTTGTATACTGCCCCCAGAGGTCTCACAGGAAGCACAGGACACCTGTGTGGCTGTTTGGGCATCCTGGGTACCTCTTGCCCTCAAGCGAACTCCCATCTCTTTAGTTAGGAGCAGAATCCACCTGGCTTCTAGGAGAGGAACTACATGGAGAAGCTGCATTGAGGCTTTTATTATTAATACCTTTGACTCAGGGGAATACCAGCCTTGGGGTGCTTTGGGGCCTGGGGAGGGAACTGATTGGCTCTCCTGCTACACTGGAGACTGTTAGCTCATTTCTGAATGGATTTCCTGCAGCATGGGGTAGTCAACAGCTGTGACAGGAACATCACCTGAAGTGCAGGGTGGTTACCTGCACAAAGTCCCATTTCCAAGAATTTCTGTGTAATTCACCAGAACTTTTGGATGGAATAATTAGAGGGGGGGGAGAAGTTAAAACATGTAACTCAAATGGTACAGTGATTAGCATTATTTAACCAGGAGATTTAAAGTCCAGAAAATTAAATTCTACCTTGGTTCTTCCCAAATGATGCCATGTTTCTGTTTTCTTCCTCTTAAAACTATAAAATGTCCTAGAGACATAACATTCGGGGGAAAGATGCTTTTGAGAAAATGGACAGAAGGAAAAAAGAAGTCATTTTCCCCTCAAGAGAGTTTTAAGCTTATAGTATCAGGATCATCACCAAGCTGTTTAAATTTCAGAAAAGCCCTTTATAGATGCTAGTACTGACTAGATTTTAAAATCTGCATATAATTCTGTATCATATTTTAATTCATTCCCACCCCCATCTCAAATAAGATGACTACAGAGGTGATGTTTCTTCCAGTTGTCCTTGGGACTCTAAAACAAAGCATGAGGGCAAGTGAAATAACAACATTAGGATAATTAAAGAATTTCCAAATGCTGCATGACAGTGCTACATCCATTCAGCCTGTACATTTTGCTTTCATTGCTTCTTTCTTTTTTGAGCCAGTCTCTGGAGCAGGCCAGTTTAACAGCCAATATTTCTAAGATTCTACATTTACCCTCACACTGTGGAAACTACATTTGTTTTCCCCTTGAGTGCCCTTAAATCTACAGCCTGCTTCCTCATGCCTGTGAGCAGAATTTGGATAAATGCTTGAAATGGAAAGAACAAAGCACACACCAAAGAATCTGACTGTGTCATTCAACTGCTTAGAAATGGAAATGATATTCACATTGTGTTCATCTTGGCATCTCGATAAAATGAATCCCATATTTAATGAGTTGTTTTAAAGTGCCAGTCACGTGCAGATTCCAGAAGGCTACAGATCCACTTTAAATAACTCTCCATTTTGAAAATGCAATATTGTCCAACTGGTTATTTGGTATGACAATGAAAAATCACGCATTCTTTTCCTGTAATTATTTTACTCTTCATTCATAACATTCGATATGCTCTGAATTTCTTTAAGTAAAAGTGTTTTCTGGAGAAATCTTTTTACTACATCATTATACTTGATATTCCATAGGATTGCTATGGACTTTAGAATAAAAGGCTTAACAATCAGGCTTTGGTTTTAATGTTAACTGGGCAGAAGTTGGAATTGCTTTGATAACACAATTCAACTACTACACATATTATTGTAATGTGAAATAACACATTTAAAAAGACAAAGGTTCCCCTTTCAGTAGTTATAATCTGTATTATTCAAGACTGCTGCAAAACTCACAAAAGAATGATACGGATAACAAGAAAGTATAGGAAAGGGGTAAGACACTTACTTAAAGCTTTACCAGAACACAACACAAAGCAAGAACATCAATTCTCTACATTTGTCTATAAGGCAGATGGCAAACTTTTTATACAAGATCTAAAATATGGTGCTTATTAAGAGGTAGAAAATACTAAAACAGCATTTAAGAAAAACGTGTTGAGTTATCCAAAACAATCAGTTACTTTACTAAACTTTTACAAAGTCAAACTGCTGTGTGGAATAAACTATATGTTTTATATTAAACTGGGACATTCCATACTCATAAGGGAGGTGATCAAACGGAGGGTCAAAAAACTAGGAGTAGGGTGGGAAGCAGAAAACAGTCTCTTAACTTCTCAAGGACTCAGCTCTCACTAAGAAGAAATTTCCTACTGTCTCTTTGGGATGCTACTGTGATATTTAATTAACTGGAATTTTTTCTCTTATTAATGATAATTTCTCTGAGCAAGAGGGTACAATTTTGCACACAAGGCAATAGAACTATAGGGAGAAACAAGTTCAAATGTTTCCTTTTCAAGAAGGTGCCATATTCATCTTATATAAAAATATACATTCCATTAATCTTATATCCTCTCCCTAACCACTAAAATGCAAATGAAGATATTCTTCAGACTCCAGCACCAGCAGAATTGTTCTGTATGAGCAATTCAAGAGCTGTCTGAAGCAAAAAGATATCTCAGCTACCAAATTAAACTTGGGTAGCTTACGCGTGGGTGAGTAACCCCGGGTATTCTCACTTCTTAATGCACCTGGGAGAGGCTGATTTTTTTTTTCTACAACATAATTTTATAAGGCATAAATTTAATTGGAATCTTCCCTAAACTTTGGAAAATTAGTGCTAAAGCTTCTTTTTTTAACCCACACATGAACATTCAATCTTTCATTTTTATTAAATAGTTTATATATAAAAAGAAATGTCAAGGTGTTCTACATTCATATAAACAATCAGGGTAACATTTGAAATTGTAAAGAAACGCACTGAGGAAAATATAGAATTAATGAGTTACAATGCTAAGCTAAGCACAAGTGATCATCCTAGAGTACTGTTTAAATATATAAACACAAGTTTGTGCCACTTCAGAAAGCAAGCATGGGAGAAATACACTAACGTTATCTTTCTTCTTTACTTTTTCACCATAAGACAGGATGGTCCAGTTTGGAAAAACCAAGATCTTTTCTAAGTTCCAAATAGGTACCGTTGCTCAACCACGAGTCATCATCGGATTTCCTGTGAAAAAAGAAACAATTTCTTGCAGACTCTTGAAACCAGCGTCATGTTCTCAAGTCTTTTTCCTTCCTAACCTCCCTGCTTTCCCCATCCTCATTTGCACATGCATTCAGCGTCCCAGAGTGTTGGGACTGGGAATTCTGGGAATTAGAAGTCCACAAATAATTTTGTTACTTTTTTTTTTTTTTTTTTTTTTTGAGATGGAGTCTTGCTCTGTCATCCAGGCTGGAGTGTAGTGGCATGATCTCGGCTCACTGCAACCTCTGCTTCCCAGGTTCAATCGATTCTCCTGCCTCAGCCTCCTGAGTAGCTGGGACTGCAGCCATGTGCAACCACGCCCAACTAACTTTTGTATTTTTAGTAGAGACATGGTTTCACTATGTTGGCCAGGCTGGTCTCGAACTCCTGACCTCAGGTGATCCACCCGCCTCGGACTCCCAAAGTGCTGGGATTACAGGCATGAGCCACCACGCCAGCCCATTTTGTTACTCTTGACTTTAACTTCTCAAACTTAGAGGCTGTGAAAAGTGGTGCTTCTGACAGAAGGAGGGTGCAGGGAGAGTCTGTCATATACAAAACATGACTTGTATGACTGTCAGCACCTTGGGAATGACTGCACAAAAGCTACACATCAACCAAGTTGTGCATAGGAAGTGGTTAACATTTATTTATTTATTTTTAAAGGAGGCTGGGTGTGGTGGCTCACGCCTGTAAGCTCAGTACTTTGGGAGGCCGAAGCGGGCACATCACAAGGTCAGGAGTTCGAGACCAGCTTGACCAACATGGTGAAACCCCGTCCCTACTAAAAATACAAAAATTAGCTGGGCATGGTGGCGGACACCTGTAATCCCAGCTACTCGAGAGGTTGAGGCAGGAGAATCCAGAAGGCGGAGGTTGCAGTGAGCTGAGATCACAGCACTGCACTCCAACCTGGGCAACAAGAGCGAGACTCCATCTCAAAAAAAAAAAAAAGTAATTGGAAGCCATAAGAAAGTCTGGAAAGATTAGTCCTGATTTTTTATTCTTTGAATAGAGAATATATGACACAGACCAAAATTCAAAGGGCACAAAAGGGTATACAGCTTCAAGTTTTTATCTTCCCCCTCTCTGCCAGCCTCCTGATTCTTCTCAGAGGTAGTGATGTTATCGGCTTCATTCTTTCCGGGAAATTCCGTGTGTGTGTGTGTGTGTGTGTGTGTGTGTGTGAACACGTACTCTATCCCTTCTCATTCTGACATAATGTTGCACCAGACACTGTTCTACTCTTTCAGCTTTGACATAATGAAATATATTGGAGATCATTTCCGATTAGTACAATAAGGCAAGGGTCAGCAAACTATGGCCCAAGGGTCGAATCCAGCCTTCTGCATGTCTCTGAAATCTGTTTTATTGGAACATGGCCATGTCCATTTGTTTAAATACTGTTTATGGCTGCTTTCAATGCTGAACAGCGGGGCTGCATAATTGCTACTAAATGAATTGAACCTGATGGCCCGTAAAACCAACAATATTTATCATTTGCTCTTTATAGGAAAAGTTTGGTGACTCCAGCAATAAAGGATTCCTCATTTTCTTTTTACACAGTTGTATGATATTCCATTGTATGGATGGACCACAATTTACCTAACAGGTACCCTACTGATGGGTACTTAGGTTATTTCCAAACTCTAGCTCAGCACATGTTATTTTGTATGTGTGTGCATATAGTTACATTAACAATTCCTGTAATTAGCATGGCTGGGTCAAAGAGTATGTGCATTTGTGATTCTGACTGATATTACCATATGGTTTAGAAGCAAAGTGGAGCGTGCCTGTTTCCCCACACTCTCAGGAATGTAGATTTTTATCACACTTGTTTTCCTATTCCAGTAACACTATGTGTTTAAAAATGAGTCAATCTGTGTATCAGACAGTTCACTATTTTAAAACAAAGAGGCTCAGTTTGGTCTGAGCTACAGTTTCCACTTAGAATTTTCAGTGATTTTGTTGTTGTTCCTCAGTAAGTGTTAATGACAACATCCAAGTCCCCATATTCCTCTCCAAAATCTCTTTGCCAGGTTTCTAATTTGAACAGTCCCATGGAGGACTGCTACTGCTAAACAACTCTCACTCCTTCTCCAATTTAAAAATATTTCCTCATCTAATACTATGATAATTTTATAGACAGTCAAAAAGAGAGCGACGGCTGCCCAGCTGAAGCGGCTGCCCTTTTTCATTCCAGACATAATTCCTTCCTGATTGCAATGACAGCATAATCCCATTCTGTATCTTGCATTTACATGGTAATGTGTTTCCAGCAGAGTTCCGCAGGCTTCCTAAGGTCATCCTTAATGTCTCATGTTGGATCGAGTTGGTGAATCTCCTTAACTAGTCCTTGAGACAGTTTGGTTACCTACTATTTTTAATGATCCTAAAAAGTACTGTAATGAACATCTTTATAATTGTAGTTTTTTTTAAAATGAAAATAGACAACATATGAAAGAAAAAGAACCAACCTATTTAAGGGTGTAATGTGTTTATCTATTAACTGATCAGTAAATCAACTGATCAGTCTGTTAATCTATCCATTTTTCTATTTCTTGCCTTTTTCAAAAAAGAATGTAACATTTCCATCTTATTCTTTAAATGTTTAAATGAAGCCTGAATATTTCAGGATGAAATTTTGGCCAGTTGAGTTTCAATCACTGATATCGTGAATTTGTGGAAATGATCAGAAGGGATCTAGTAGAATCTACATCAACTTTAGGGAAAAGAGCATCATATTCTTCGAGACAAAACCTTATTTGTTACTATTTTGATGTTTTGGAATACATATTTTATTACTGCTGCTGTTATTAATAACTAAATCCTCATAAAAGTACTTCTGTTGTCCACTAAAAACAAACAAAAACACAAAAAACATCCCCAAACAATGAAAAGACACTGGTGGCTCTGGAAGGACTTGGGCAGATGGAGCAGAGCAGGAACTTGCTGCTTTTTCACATATGCCTATTTAACTTTTTTAAAAAAAGAACAAACAGAAAAACTAAAATGATATAGGCCCTGGCCTCATAGTGAGGAGAGTCAGGCCCCATTCCGGGGTATTATACCAAGTCCTTCAACAGATCCCCTCCCTGCCTTAGGCTTTCTCTTCTACTCAGTTACAGGAGGAGATGGGGAGGTGAATGGTTGAAGATCCCTCATACCTCCTTAAAAAATTTAAATCTATTGGCCGGGCGCAGTGGCTCACACCTGTAATCCCAGCACTTCGGGAGGCCGAGACGGGTGGATCACGAGGTCAGGAGATTGAGACCATCTTGGCCAACATGGTGAAACCCGTCTCTACTAAAAATACAAAAATTAGCCAGGCATGGTGGCGTGCACCTGTAGTCCCAGCTACTCGGGAGGTTGAGGCAGGAGAATGGCTTGTACCCAGGAGGTGGAGGCTGCAGTGAGCCAAGATGGCACCACTGCACTCCAGCCTGGGCAACAGGGCAAGATTCTGTATTCAAAAAAAAAAAAAAAAAAAATTAAATCTATTTTAACAAGACCTTCTTGGCAAGTTATTTTAAAGATAACAATAAATGCAAGCCCAAGTGTATTGGAACTTCTACAATGCAAGAAACAGACTGCTTGGAATTTCCATACTGCTTACCTGTGGAGTGATCGTGAATGATCTCTGTCATAGTGTAAAATGTGCCTATGGGGGTGACCAACCTTAGCTGTGAATTTAATAAGCTGGCCTGGCACTGGCACCCAGCTCTGGCAGGCTCCCTGACTGAGGACCTCCTCTGCAAACTCACTGATTGAGACACTGGGAAAGCTCAAGGAATGCAAAAACACAGGCCCTCGTCCTGCCTGACATCAGAAAGAGGGAGGCCCTGAAGGCAAGTGCCAGGGAAGGGCCTGGCACAGAGGAGCAGTTCCCCCAGGTGGAAGTAGGAAAAGCCTGGAGAATGCTCTCATCTGGGGACAGCGCTGTTTACTTGCTGTGAACCAGAAGCATAACGTGCTGGCACCACCTATCAACCAAAAACCTACTCAATCCGGGCACAAACCTGAAAAACCGAGGCTGGTGCTCCACATGATTTTCTTCTAAGACCCGCCGCCTTTCTCTCTGTAGTTGTTCAATCCTCTGCTTTTGTATTTCAGCTTCTTCTAAGTTCCCTTCTTCTAGAAACCTGAGGCATTGAGGAAAAAAAAAAAAGAAAGGATATGAATTCAAGAAAACAAAACAATCATTACTACGCAACTTGTATGTGTCCACAACTGGATATTCAAAATCCGTTCCTATACGTAAGACCCTGCCCCCAACCCTTTAATCAGTATCTTGAAGTAGTCAGAGAAGACATTTTTTGAATTGGTGATATTTACATAATTCAAAAATTATATCTACAAAAAAGAATTTGGGGCAAAGTCTTCCTTTCTTCCTGGTCTCTAATTCCAGCCACCTTTACCCTACCACCCTAGAAAACCCACTTTATTATTTTCCTCTGCATCTTTCTAGAGATTCTTCATGTGTATATAAACAAATATTAATACATATTCTTACCCTTCCCTCCATTTAAAAAATATAAATGGTAGCATGCTATGTATTCCTTGATTTTTTGTTTTGGTTTACTTTTTATTTAACAATATATCTTAGAGATCTTTCCATGGACATACATAGACATCTTTATTTTTTAATAGCCACATAATATCCAGTTGTGTGGATGTATCTGAATTTAGACAATTTCCTATGGATAGACATTTGAATCGTTCCCAATTTTTTAATGTGACAATGCCGCAATAAATGACCTTGAATATCCACCATTTTACATGAGTAAGTAGGAAAAATCTGCAGGAGAAATTTCTAGAAGTGAAACTGCTGGGTGAAAGGGTGAGTGTTTAATTTATATATTACTGAACGGCCCTTTGTGGGGATTACAGCAATTTATATTCCCATCAGCAATGCTGAGAGTGCCCTTTTCTCCCATCACCTCAGAATGTATAAAACTTCTGAATTTTTGTCAATCTGATAGGTTAAAAAATGGGATGTCAACATGATTTTTAAATTTGCATTTTTCTTATTATGACTAAGGCTGAGAATCTTTTCAGATGTTTAAGGGATAGCTGCATTTCCTATTTTGTGGACTGTTCATTTTCCTACGTCCATTTTTTCTTTTTTTTTGTTAACACAAGCTTAAGATAAATTTAATTGAAAATGTTCATTATAGACATTAACAATGCTTACCATTCTTTAAACACCATATACGTTATTAATATATAGTGTATATTTCAAATTAACTCCATTCTTAGGTTTGATTTAAGAAACACAATTGTAACAGATTTTATACAAAAAAATACTTCCCTAAAAAAGTAGACAAACTGCATGAAACAGTATAAGCATAATGTGCATAGCAAGATAGCTTGAAGCATTCTGTGTGTGGCTTTCTTTAAAATAAATTAGGGGAATGGGCCCATTTGGGAGCTACTGTTACAGCTGACATATGTAAATGGTTTCACATCTTTTTTAGGCACTTGCTAACCAGTGTCCAATCCCTGCAAAATGAATTTACCTCCGATCTATTACTAGATTTCTAGAGGCAATTCATGATACGAGTTGCAGATATGGACTTCTCTGTTTATCATTTACCTTTTGACCTTATATAGTTTTATTTATTTTGCCATAAAGAAGGGCTTATGTTTGTTTTTTTTTTGGGGGGGGGAGACGGGGTCTCATTGAGACACCCAGGCTGGAGTACAGTGGTGTGGTCTTGGCTCACTGCAACTTCCTCCTGTTGGATTCAAGCAATTCTCATGCCTCAGCCTCCCAAGTAGTTGGGACTACAAGCATGTGCCACTGCCCCTGGCTAATTTTTGTATTTTTAGTAGAGACGGAGTTTCATCATATTGGCCAGGCTGGTCTCAAACTCCTGACTTCTAGTGATTCACCCGCTTCGGCATCCCAAAGTGGTGTTTGTTTTTATTAAAGCCAAATGTAACAATCTTTTCTTTCCTTGGGCTTCTAGATTTTCAGTCTTAATTAGAAAGACCTTAGGGGAGACATTATTATTTCCATTTTACAGAGTAGGAAACTGAGGCTGGGAAAGATGAAAAGACCTACCATATATCGCACACCATGTGAGCAGCAACCTAGAAAGCAGTAGTTAGATCTCAGTGTACCAAAATCATTTAAATCTGAGGGCTCGGGGAGCTGGATGTTTCCACCCTTTCAAATACACACTAAGTTCTTTATGATTGCATGCAGTAAAACTCTTCAAAATAAACACCTTTTTTTGGCATTTCAATGGAAATGGGGCTTTACGGATAACAAAGGTCATGCCACACATGGATTCGAGTTGGGCCCCAGCTCCTCCGTGACACAATTGTTTAAAGCGTCCCCACCTCTCAACTCCTGATGACATTTTCCACCTTTCTCAGGTGCCTCTGGTGGCCCAAGGATTGCTAGTAAGACTTTTTGTAAAGGGTTTTACATCTCTGGAGAGAAAAATCTTTAAAAAAATCCTTACCTCTGGTCTGGCCTAAATCGAGTGTCAGTAGGTGGTAATAAAGACTTTGACGATGGATCCATTTCATTTAATTCCAGCGCAAACTGTGTGAAGCCATAGTATTGCTCATAGCCTTTCGGCATGGGATCTAAGAAGAAAATAAATCATTCACCCCTAACTTGCATGTCGCTTATGTTACATTTTAATTCCTTCACCTTTTTCATCTCAGCCTCGCTACAATTTTTCTCTCTCAGCTCCCTTCCATTTCTGTTAAAATATTCTGACTAATGAACAGGCGCTGAACATTTCTCTACACATTTTCTTTTCTATAATTTTTCTTCTGTCTACAGGGATGTAGCTAAGTGTGTTCAGAAAGCAAATTTATACAATGCTGTGAAGTTTCTGTAGTGCTTAAGCTATGAAAATAGTTTGATTTTAAAATAAATATGCTAGGCTGGGCGCAGTGGCTCACGCCTGTAATCACAGCAGTTTGGGAGGCCAAGGCAGGCCGATCACCTGAGGTCAGGAGTTTGAGATCAGCCTGGCCAACATGGCAAAACACTGTCTCTACTAAAAATACAAAACTCAGCCAGGCATGGTGGCGGGTGCCTGTAATTCCAGCTACTTGGGAGGCTGAGGCAGGAGAATCACTTGAACCTGGGAGGCAGAGGCTGCAGTGAGCCAAGATTGCACCATTGCATTCCAGCCTGGGTGACAAGAGAGAAACTCTGTCTCAAAAATAAAATAAAAATAATAAATAAACATACTAATATAAGCTCTGGGTCCATTTTTCCTGATTCTCACTCTAGAGAATCTGTTTTTAAGTGATGTCAAATTATCCTGAAACTCTGTTTAGTACCTACAACAGTGCTGAACACATAGCAAGTGGTTAATAAATGTTATTCTTTTCTTCCATTCCTGCCCTTTTTACCAATTCTTGCCTCCCCCTAATCTTACATCTTTAAACCATTAGGTGCATTGCCCTAACTGGAATTCCAGCTTTTCAAGCTAAACATACTCAAATTTATATATTGAATAAATCCAATGTAGACTACTAAGATCTACTTACAGTCTAAGCTCTTCACACATAACAAGAGAAATGCTTTCCAAGAACTCTTCTGCAGACCTTTTCTTTTAAATTAAAGGGTCTCAGTTCACCCCGGTTGGAGTACAGCGACAGGATCTCGGCTCACTGCAACCTCTACTTCCAGGGTTTCAGTGATTCTCATGCCTCACCCTCCCGAGTAGCTGGGACTACAGTAGATGCACACCACCATGCCTGGCTAATCTTTGTATTTTTAGTAGAGATGAGATTTCGCCATGTTGTCCAGAGCGGTCTCGAACTCCTGGCCTTAAGCAATCTGCCGCCTTGGCTTCCCACAGTGCTGGGATTACAGGCGTGAGCCACCATGCCCAACCGGGACCAATTTTTTGAATCTTCAGAAGTCCTCCTTGTAACTAGTCAATTCTCTGTGTATCCTAAGCATAAAAATAGTAGCAAAGTTTCCTGTGGTGTCTTGGTCAGCAACCCAGTAACCAGGGAGTAAAGGTGCTTTTTCTTAAAGATGGGCCAGAGATGCTCATTGCCATTAGAGAGACATAAAGTCAAGGAATAATGACAGTAACAAAAATTTAAACAGTGTCACTTTATCAAGGTGGTACTTTAACATTGAGACAGGATGGTAGTTCTCATCTGTGATGCATACTTTAAGCAAAGGAGACAGATTGTGCCATTTGCAGAATCTCATGTGTGCCTCTGAAGCTAGGAAGGCTTCCACTGGTGCCAGTTCATTCTAACTTCATGGCAACCTCTGCAATGGTGGGAGATGTGGCAGCTACCCATCGAAAGAGCCACTGCTGGCTGCCTACTTGACCATCATTTCTCTTTCCTGCTTGCTAACAGGATACTGATTCTGTTCAAATGGCATTGTTCCCTTACTGGCAATTACTCCAAGACATCTAAATCTCTCTTGCCTACCCTGTTGCCCATGACTGGTTCATGGATGGGTCTGAACCCACTGCAGGCTGACATGATGTCAAGTCCTATTTGCTGGGGGATCCTAGGAAATGTTCCTGAGAAAAGAGAGGCACAAGAGAGAAAAGCTCTTTTGTCCTCTCAATACGTGCTTGGTATGCTGTCATGCAGGGGTATGACGCTGAATGGTAACAACCATTTTGCATCCATTAGGGGAAACAGCACAGCACACTGGGAGTGGCAGAATGTATTCGCACTGATCCGTGTGCCCTTGACACAGGTAAGTTGCCTATGTAAGAACCCTGGGGCCACCCACCGCCTCACTTACTGTTACGTAATAGCACATAGCCTAACAGTTGAAGCCACCAGTCAAATGGTTTTCTGTTTGGTTTTTCACCAACCTAAAGCATCCTAACAAACAATGGTTTACAATATGGCTGTGACTTGGAAACAACATAATTTTTGGACTGAGAAGAGGGAGTAAGATGTTGAAGTGTGGTGGGGACATGCTGATGAAAGCTGGGGTTCCCTAGCTCTTCTGCCCGTATCTGCTCCAAGAGCTCAGCACCCTCTGGAATCACAGGAGTGACGAGGATGGCTCAGCCTGGGGATAGCTAACTTTTGTAGGTCTCCTGGGTCACTGCTTTTCCAGGAACACTTTCCTCTTTGTCCTTGCTGCAAAATGACTTCTTGCATCTCACTGATATTCTTTCATAGTACCCAGTATAGTTATGCATGCGGACTGCAAGATTCCCTCGGAGAATGCCCACGGATTAGCAATGCTTATTCTGGGGTTAAGAACCCGGGACCCAGCAGCCCAACAGAGGTGTTGCTATAAGTAAGCATGACAAGTCGGTAAAGACTGGATGAAGGAAGAGGGCCAACACCTCTAACTGAGTTCAAAGCAGAAGAGGCTGGAGATGCTGAACAGACACCGCTCCTGTCCTCTGTGGCTTCTTTTGCCATGCCCACTCATGCACCCACTCGCAGCCTGGGGTCCACAAACCCAGACACTCACTTGCTCTCCACACACAGGCAGAAGAGGAGGCGCCACCGCAGTAGATGCTTTCATGCCATTTCCCAAACAGCCGATGAACTGCGTTTCCACTCCTGTCAAACACTGTGCCTTCAATCTCATGGGCATTAGTGCTCCAGTATTTTGCCTAGGATTCAAATGAGAGTTGTCGGCTTAGTCCTTTAGCATCAGCTTATTACAGATATTAAGGAAAGAAAAAGGGAAAAGCTAGAGAAAGAACTGTAAGAGTGGTTCCATACTACACATTAGTTTGCTAGCTCTGGGTTCTGTTCTTTTAACCGACAAATTAAAAATTTATATATTTATCACGTACAACATAGTGTCTTGAAACATGTGTACCTTGTGGAATGGCTAAATCAGCTGATTAACATATGTATTACCTTACATACTTACTTATGATAACACTTAACTCTCTCAGTGGCCGCGTACGGTGGCTCACGCCTGTAATCCCAGCACTTTGGAGGCCGAGGTGGGTGGATCACCTGAGGTCAGGAGTTCGAGACCAGGCTGACCAACATGGAGAAATTCCATCTCTACTAAAAATACAAAATTAGCTGGGTGTGATAGCACATGCCTGTAATCCCAGCTACTCGGGAGGCTGAGGCAGGAGAATCGTTTGAACCCAGGAGGTGGAGATTGTGGTGAGCCGAGATCGCACCATTGCACTCCAGCCTGGGCAACAAGAGTGAAGCTCCGTCTCAAAAAACAAAACAAAACAAAACAAAAACAAAAACAAAAACTCTCTCAGCAATTTTCAAGTATACAACACATTGTTATTAACTATAATCATCATGTTGTACAACAGATTTCTTGAACTAATTCTTCCTGTCTGAAATTTTGGATCCTTTGGCCAATATTTCTCAATCCTCCCCTCTGCCCCTGGCAAACCCATGTCAACCATCATTCTACCCTCTGCTTCTATGAGACTGACTCTTTTAGATTCCAAATATAAGTAAGATTATGTGGCATCTGTCTGTGTCTGGCTTATTTCACTTATCCTCCAGGTTCATCTATGTTGTCATAAATGACAGGGTTTCCTTCTTCTTAAAGGCTGAACAGTATTCCACTGTTATATGTTGTATGTACCATATTTTCTTTCTCCATTCATCCATTGTTGGACACTTAGGCTGTTTCTCTATCTTGGTCATTATGAATATTGCTGCAATGAACATGGAGATGCAGATATCTCTCTCACATACTGATTTCATTTCCTATGGATATACACCCAGTAGTGGGATTGCTAGATCATATGGTAATTCCATTTCTAATTTTTTTTAGGAACTTCCATTCTGTTTTCCATAATAGCTGTGCTAATTTACATTTCCATGAATAGTGTGGGTTTCTTCTTCTCCATATCCTCCTGAACATGTTATTTTTCATCTTTTTGATAATAGCCATTCTAACAGATATGAGGTGATATCTCACTGTGGTTTTAATTTGCATTTCCCTGATGATTACTGATGTTCATCATTTTTTCCTCATATATCTATTGGCCACTTATATGTCTTCTTTTGAGAAACGTCTCTTCAGGTCCTTTGTCCATTTTTAAATCAGATTGTTTTCTTGCTGTTGAGCTCTCTATACATTTTTTATATCAACCTCTTAGGGGATGTATAGTTTACAAATATTTTCTCCTGTTCTATAGGTTGTTTCTTTACTGTATTGATTGTTTCCTTTGTTGTTTAGTTTGATATAATCCCATTTGTCTATGTTTGCTTTTGTTGTGCTTTTGGGGTCATATCCAAAAATAATAACTGCCCTGACCAACGTCATGAAGCTTTTCTCCTTTTGTTTTTGTTTTAGTAGTTCTACAGTTTCAGGTCTTGCTGCAAGTCTTTAGTCTTTTTCAGTTGATTTTTGTATACAGTATAAAGTTCTAATTTCATTATTTAGCATGTGGATATTCAGATTTTCCAGCACCATTTATTGAAGAGACTGTCCTTTCCCCATTGTGAGTTCCTGGCACCTTTGTCAAAAACCAATTAATTATAAATGCATGGATTTATTTCTGAGTTCTCTATTTGTTCCATTGGTCTATGTATTTGTTTTTATGCTTGGACTTTGGCTTTAAAAAACTCATACCTTTAGTTATTTAATAAAAATGAATGGTTAACTATCCGCAGTTTGTAACTCAACTCGTATTTGTGTAAGATACATTTGTATTACTACCTTTGCTACATACACTGTAAAAGAAGGCTCAGTTCTCGGCCGGGTCCAGTGCCTCATGCCTGTAATCCCAGCAGTTTGGGAGGCCGAAGTGGGTGGATCACTTGAGGTCAGGAGTTTGAGACCAGCCTATCCAACATGGTGAAACCCCATTTCTACTAAAAATACAAAAATAAGCCGGCTGTGGTAGTGGGTGCCTGTAATCTCAGCTACCTGGGAGGCTGAGGCATGAGAATCACTTGATCCCGGGAGGTGGAGGTTGCTGTGAACTCAGACTGCACCACTGCACTTCAGACTGGGTGAGAGTGAGACTCCATATCAAAACAAAACAAAAAAAGAACAAAAACAAGAAAAGAAAAGGTTCAGTTTCTATACATCAAGCGAGTAGCATGGGTATTCTCACTATGTATTGGTCCTGGTCTGCGAGGCTACCTTGCACTCTATTCTGCTCAGTTCAGCTCAGCTCAGGCCAGCCCAGTCCAGAGGATTTTATACAGTTCCACACTGCAGCCAGCAGAGGGAGCTCTAGCGCCCTAGAGTTGATTTTTTTTTTTTTTTTTCCAAATTACCTGGCTGCCCTAAAAGTTTCTATGAAAGAACGGCAAAGGCATTTCTCCATAAATCAAAAAACCCTAGTACTATTTTCAGCTTAAACAGAATCCATATTTGGAAACCAATAATGTTGAATGGCATTTTCAGGTCAGATTCTGGTCGTTCAGCTTCTGCATTTCAAGGCGGTGGTAAAAATGGTGGGGCACGGAAGTGTCTCAGAGCTGAATTAAAAATTTAAAGTTAAGTTCTCCAGCCATGTAATAATGAGGGAAAAGCAAAAAGATCTTAAGTTTGTTTATTTATTTTTTGATGATACAGGGTCTTACTATGTTCCCCAGGGTAGAGTGCAGTGGTGAAATCATAGCTCATTGCAGTCTCAAATTTCTGAGCTCAAGTGCTCCTTCTGCCTCAGCCTCTCCAGCAGCTGGGACTACAGGTGCATGCCACCATGTTTGGTTAATTTTTAAATTTCTTTATAGAGATAGGGTCTTGTCATGTTGCCCAGGCTGGTCTCAAATTTCAGGCCTCAAGTGAGCCTCCTGCTTCAGCCTCCCAAAGTGCTGGGATTACAGGTGTGAGCCATGGCACCCGGGCTCTTAATTTTATTCTGAATCAGGTGTCAGATTTTCCCTTAGAGATATCTGCCAACAAATCCAGTGCTGAGAATTTGCTGGAAGCCACCAAGGGACACTGTCACCTTCCACACGCGAGTGTGGCATCCGCTTGCAGCATCTCTTTCAACACCAGACATGCCCAGTGTTCATCTCTCATAACTATAAAACCCATTTTCTGCATGTAAGTGGATGAGAACCAGGTAGGTGGTAGATACGGGAGTGGAGCATGTGTCCTTGGAGAAAACGTTGAGAGCAATGTGGCTTTCACCTGGGACACAGGTAATATATCCCTGCTTCAGGCTGCCTTTTGTTTCTGTTTGCAGAGAGCTCAGACAAAGCTTTCAAGGTAGGGTCATTTTTATTTTGCCCCAAATGTAAGGTCATTATGGGCTTTATGTCGGTCTATAAACCAGTTTGAGGTTATAATAAAGACCCCAATCCACCTCTTCCTAAGTATTCCCTATAGGTTACAGGTGGTGCAGAGAGGCATTGCATGAAGTTCCACAATAAAACCTCAACTCTCTGCTTATTATTTCCATCTCTGTTAAACGCAAATATTCCTTGAGGAGGATCATGTTTTAAAGCTATTTTAACTACATACAATTTTTAAGAGCATGAAGGAATCTAGGAGAGAGAGAAAGCAGGGAGGGCTGCCCAGCAAGGCTGTTAAAATGATAAAGAGACTATTCCATACTTTTTGCCTCTGGCCAATCTTTCCATTTCTTCTCTGAATGTTTATGAGTCTCTCATGTGTGCCAGATACCATTTCAGGTATCTGGGCTACAGAAGTGAGCAAGATAGACTAGGTTTTGCTCTTCTGGAGTCAAGGATGAGGAGGAGGGTATGGAGAGCAGAAAATAAACATACACAGCAACGATGAGCAGGCTGACCTCAGATGGTGATAAGCACTCTGAAGAAAATGGGACAGGATAGGGAGCGAATGACAGGATGGGGCTAGTGATGGAAAGATCTGGGAACAGCTCCCCAAGCAGAAGGAAATGAAGGAAGAGAAAGAAGGCCGGTGTGGCCAGAGGACAGTGGGGAAAAAGAGGGAGGAAAAAGAGAAGTTCAGGTTGGAGGGGAAAGAGGTGGTGTGTGTGTATCTGCAAGTGTGCAAGTATGTGTGTGAAACAGTGGGGATGGGGAGTGTAGCCTGTGCAGGGCCTGGCAGGTCACCATAAGGATGCAGGCTTCAATTCTGAGAAAGATGGAAGCTGTTGGGGGACTTTGCTCAAAGGAATGATACAGCATGAGATTTTTTTTTTTTTAAAGTCTGTGGTAAACCATACCTAATGTAACATTGACCATTTTAACCATTTCTAAGGGTACAATTCAGTGGCATTAAATACATTCACAATGCTGTGCAACCATCACCACTATCTATTTCTAGAACTTTTTCATCTTCCCAAACTGAAGTTCTATACCCATTCAACACTATTTCCCCCTTCCTCCCTCCTGCAGCCCCGGGTGACCACCATTCTGCTTTCTTTCTCTGTGAACTGGATTCCTCTGGGGATCTTGCAGAAGTGGAATCATGTAATATTCGTCCTTTTGGGGCTTCAAGGTGCATCCATACTGCAGCATGGTGATTTATGTTTTAAAAGGGTCTCTCTGGCTGCTGTACTGAGGACAGACCCTAGTGGCCCCCAGGAGGGGCCACTGCCCTGGTCTAGGTGACAGAGCTGCAGCTGGGACCAAGGAGTTCCAGCATTGCTTGCCTGCTGGCATAAAGGTGAAGGTGAAAAATCTCTCAAATGCCCTGTGTTCTGGGGCCCTGGCTCTGCCACAGCCTTTCCAGGGACAGAGCTCAGAGAGTCACTGGAGTTACCTTTATAAAATTCACTTTGCAGTAGCAGGAATCATCATTCAGATTCTTGATGACAATCTCTCCATAGTGCTCAATCCACCTCTGCCCGCTTAAGATGTTATGGATGCAAGAGGTCACTTTGTTCCACTCAAAATGATCCCCGAAACTAAAAAGAAGGAAAAAGTAGAAGTACCAATTTCCAGAAGAGCCAGCAGCAAATGCAAACAAACTCTGCTCTTTTATAAAATAAGTCATGTCATGCATTACTCATCCCTTTATTCACAGAAGCAACACTGGCTGAGTGTCCACGCCACGCTGGATGTTCTAGGAGCCTCCACTCTCCAAGGAGGCGTGCATGCCACAGAGAATGACAGCATTCAGACTCTGCACTCTGGAAGCTACCAGAGGCTTCACTAGAAGCTGGTGGTCTCTTGGAACAGTCCACCCCCTCCTTTGACAGAGGAGGCAGTTCAGAGCCAGAGGGGCTTGTCTAATGTTGCTGAACTAGGAAAGGGAGGCTTGAGGAAGGGATGAAGATTTTATACAATTTGCTGAACATATATTGCCTGCATCCTTTATGATGAGAAAGTATTCAGATATTACTTATGGAATTCAGTAATTATGAGGGAAATGGTATTAATAATATGACCAGATACTTACAAAACATATGCAGTGTGCTAAGTACTATTTTAGGTGTTTTAAGTATATTATCGGTTTAATCTTCACAACAGCCCTAGGAAGTAGGTGGTTTATTATTCTCTCTTTCTAGACGGGGAAACTGGTGACGAGAAAGGTGAAGTAAACTGTCCAGCGATTCGCTGTCAGTAAGTGCCAGAGTGAGCAGGTGAATCTCAGCAGTCCAGCTCCAGAGCCCCTGCTCACAAGCATCTTGCTTAATAAATAAGTATCAATCACCCCTGTCAGATCAAGGCCATACCTTTCTTAAAAGGGATTTTGACAGCAAAGCAGCACAATAAAGGAAAAACACTTTTTTTAAAAAAAAAAAAATTTGAGACAGGGTGTCACCCTGGCTGGAGTGCAGTGGCATGATCACAGCTCACTATAGCCTCAACCTTCCCAGGCTCAAGGGATCCTCCCACCTCAGCCTCCTGAGTAGATGGGACTATGGGTGCGTGCCACCACTATGCCTGGCTAGTTTTTGTATGTTTTTTAGAGACAGGGTCTTGTCATGTTACCCATACTAGTCTCAAACTCCTGGACTTAAGCAATCCGCCCACTTTGGCCTCCCAAAGTGCAGGGATTACAGATGTGAGCCACCACGCCCAGTCAAAACCACCATTCTTAATCTTGTTAGGAAGTGGAAATGAGTTTTTAATAAGCATCTATTCGGGGAACTTTGGTCTCCAGGAGGCATTTCCATTTGAGAGAGAAACATTTTTTAAAAGTGAGCTTGCCAAAAGGAGGAACATTTAAACCTACTGTCAGACAGATTACAAGAAAAAACACACACTCAATGCAACTGGCGGGGGGGTGGGCATCCGGTTCCCAAAGCAAAATCTCGGCCCTAAATTCCATAAAGCTCCTTAACCACAGAAGAAGAACTTACGCTGGCAGAGTCACATGGGTTGTGCCAATTGGAACGATTTCCATGGATTTGCCCCAGAATTTGTTTTTCCATCTCACATCTGAAATGAAATACCAAATATTACATTTTTAGCAGAAGAGTTAGGTAGATGAAATAGTTCCTAAGCTAGATAAATGATCAATCACTATATAGTACAATCTCTTCACAATCAAGTCAATTATTATATAGGATAACTTTTCATAAAATATAAGTACCAACCCCATGGACCCCTGGCGCAGAATCAGGGAAACTGAAATGATAAGATAAAGTCCTTTCCGTGAATGCGTTAACAGCATGACAGGCAGACAGAAGTGAAAACAAGTAGTTAGCACACAGAGAGGCCCAGGTTATAACTAAGTGTGTTATAAGGTAAAATGAAACCTGAGAAGAAGGAGTGACGAACATGCTTAGAGAAAGCATCAGAAGAGGCTTGTCAGAAAGGGCTATCTAAATGGGGCTTTGAGGAAAAAGCAGGAGTTCACTGGGCAGACAAAAAGCAATTTAAGGCTAAATAGCTTGTCCAAGGGGACAGAAGTATAGGAAAACATAGTCACATAGTATGGTTCTATCCTACAGGTCTCAGACTGTCTTATCTAGAGAAGAGTAGAAAGGTTGAGAACAAAACCAGGTGCAGTGGCTCATGCCTGTAATCCCAGCACTTTGGGAGGCAGAGGTGGGTGGATCACTTGAGGTCAGGAGTTCGAGACCAGCATGGCCAACATGGCGAAACCCCTTCTCTACTAAAAATACAAAAATTAGTTGGGCATTGTGGTGGGTGCCTACAGTCCCAGCTGCTCGGGAGGCTGAGGCAGGAACCCAGAGTGGAGGTTGCAGTGAGCCAAGACTGTGCCATTGCACTCCAGCCTGGGTGACGGAGTGAGATTCTGTCTCAAAAACAAACAACCAAACAAAGAAAAAAAACTGAAAACGAAAAACAATGGGCTCTCCAAGCCTGGCTAAGAGTCTGGTTTGTGTGCAATGAGTGGAAACAATCAGACCACTGATGTGATTAGACATGGACCTTGCAAAGGCAATTGGAAGCCATACGGAGAATGGAACAGGAGTAGGAGAGAGGAGAAGCAAGACGACAAGTTAAGAGGCTACTGCAGTTGCCCAGGGGATAACAAATGGGGATGAAGGGAACCAAGACAACAGACATGGGGAAGCGAGTGAGCCCAGAAATGCTAAAAAAGAAGAAATAGGCACAACTAGGTGACAAATTAGATACAGACTGAAAAAGAATTTATGAACAATGTCAGATTTCTCTAACTTGTGTGAATGATGGTACCAACAGAGAAGCCAGGGAATAGAAAAAGAACAGCAAGAGGATCCCATCTGGCTGCTGCACTGAGGATAGACAGACTACAGGGTGGGAGCAGAGGGGACAGTGGGGAGCCCTGGCTGGGGTCCAGGTGAGAGAGGTGGAGGTGGGGCTGGGACCAGCGAGCACAGTGGGCCTCATATTGTATAATCGTATTTACATAAAATGCCCCAAACAGGCACATTTACAGGCTGGGGAATGTTGAGAGAAAAGGGGCAGGGTAATATTTCCTAAAGAGGATTCTTTCTGCAGTGATGAGAATGTTCTAAAATTAACTGTGCTGATAACTGCACAGTTTATAAAATTCACAATTCTGTGAATAAAAACTATTGAATTGTACACTTTACACGGGTGAATGATATGGTATATAAGTTGTATGTTCATAAAATTGTTACCAAGAGAAAAAAAAAAGATAGCTGACTGTTTAAAGCAAGAGTAGTAACAATGTACTACATGATTTATGGTATGCAGAAGTAAGATGTACGTCAAAAATGGTAGAGAGGCCGGGCGCAGTGGCTCAAGCCTATAATCCCAGCACTTTGGGAGGCCGAGACGGGCGGATCACGAGTTCAGGAGATCGAGACCATCCTGGCTAACACGGTGAAACCCCGTCTCTACAAAAAATACAAAAAACTAGCCGGGCGAGGTGGTGGGTGCCTGTAGTCCCAGCTACTCGGGAGGCTGAGGCAGGAGAATGGCGTAAACCCGGGAGGCGGAGCTTGCAGTGAGCTGAGATCCGGCCACTGCACTCCAGCCCGGGCGACAGAGCAAGACTCCGTCTCAAAAAAAAAAAAAAAAAAAAGGTAGAGAGGTTGGGAGGGGAAAATGGAAGTATACTTCTGTAAATATCACTATATGTGAAACTGGCATAATATTTTTTGATGATATTAAAAATATATAACATAAATCCTAAAGTAACAACTTTAACAAGAAACAAAACAGGTAAGTATAGCTAATAAGCTAACAGGGGAGATGAAAGAGAATGACAGAAATTATTCAATCCAAAAGGCAGAGAAAGAGGAAAAGGAGAACAAAGAACAGATGTGACAAACAGAAAAGAAACATCATGAGGGCAGATTTAAGCCCAGCTACATCTACAATCACAACAAACGGAAATGGTTTACACAACCTACATAAAAGGCAGAGAAATGTCAGGCTGGGTTACAAACCAAGATTTGGGAATCCTAGGCCCATGGAAATAGGTGGATTGCTCAGGAAAAGGCTGATGAGGAAGGATGGCCTAGGAGAAGGATGCTCAGGAAAGGGAAGGGTGTAATGTAGGAAGTACATAGAACTATTTTGAGAAGACCCCTCTCATTTAAAAAAAAAAAAAAATCCAACTTTTGGCAGGGCGAGGTGGCTTATGCCTATAATCTCAGCACTTTGGGAGGCCAAGGCAGACAGATCACAAGGTCAAGAGATCAAGACCATCCTGGCCAGCATGGTGAAACCCCATCTCTACTAAAAATACAAAAATTAGCTGGGCATGGTGGCTCATGCCTGTAGTCCCAGCTAGTTGGGAGGCTGAGGCAGGAGAATGATTGAACATGGGAGACAGAGGTTGCAGTGAGCTGAGATTGTGCCACTGCACTCCAGCCTGGCAACAGACCGAGATTCCATTTCAAAAAAAAAAAAAAAATTCCAACGTTTGAAACAACAAAGAAGAGGTGCTTATAGCATGAGTGAGATTTATCAATTAGGAGGCTAGGAACCTTATGAGAATATTTCCAGAGGGTTTTGGTGAGAGAGCAGTTTCAATTTTAAACTTTATAGCAAAGGTGAAGAAAGAAAACCATGGTACTTGTCACTTTAAGCTGGAAATACTGATTGCCTCCAGGGAGAGAAACTCAGTGGCTGGGGAAGAGGGTTACAGTGTACTGTTTTGTACTTTTAAAGTTTAATAGACTGCGTGTGCGTGTGTGTGTGTGTGTGTGTGTGTGTGTGTGTGTAAAGGCAACATGTGATATCAGTGGTAGCAGAGAAAAATATTTTTAAAATGTATATGTGCTTACTGTCTAAAAACTTAGGATGCTTATATTTTCCTTCTACAGTACTTTTTTTTTTTAAATAAATTGAGAGGTTAACAAAATTAATCCATCTAGGAAATGGCTATAGCCTTATTTATTCTTCAGAAGATTTACCCACCCACCCCCAACTCAAAATATAAACTGAACAAAATTTTAGGAACAATCATCTCAAAACTGAAAAGAAGAAAGCAATGTAAAACACGACTTCGGAAATAAAATTTAAGTCTGGCAAAGCAGAAAACCCCTCTGCTGTCTACACTCTGATAAACGACTGTAAATATTTAGCGTCTCTTGAAATATGTGAGGCATTTCAAATGATTTTTAAATAAGATAAAGTTACAGAAATAAATGGAGAAGGCTCAGATAAACTAAGTGAGAGATGAGCGGCAAGAACAGGTGACGCAGATCCTTCCAACCAGACCCAAATCCAGGAACCACTTTTGATCTCAGTAAGAATTGATAGCAATTCTTGGATAAAGTAAATAGATAACATATTACACAATATGATGGAAGTAAAATGTATTAGCACATTACCTTGCCAGAAAACAAAATTTCTAGACTCAGCATGGCATGCAGAGATAGGCGGATGGTGGCTGACCTGATGGAAACAAAGGACAGAAAAACAAAAAATGAACTTTTGCGTCTCATGAAATCCATTCTTTCTCCCCTGCACTGAGATGTAACACAGTGTGCAGTGCTGAACTGAAGGAAAAACTTTAGTTTCCCTCAACAAGTCTGTCCTCAAGAGGGCGCTCCTGATACAGTCAGCTCCCACTTGCTCAGGTTGGTCAAGGGTGAGGGGAAGGCCCTTGAATGGAAGCCTCCAGAAGCCTCTGTGGGAGGGCGGCCAGGTGGTGAGTGATGAGGATAGAGGCGCATTTTGAAAGACATAAAAATAAAAACAGGGACATGTGAGGATTGCTCATCCATAACATATAATCTGACATTGGCTACCAATGTGTCAACATCTCTGTCAGCTGTTCTGAAAGTAGCTGCAGATGTTTTAATTAAGATATCAAGTAACAAGTATTCTAACATGCAACCCAAATGCTCTTCCTCAGGCTCAGCCAACTTAACTCTTGAAAACTCTGCGTAATAAAGGCCAGCCCCTTTTCAAATCACCTACAAGAAGACCGATGCAAGGTAATTTTTTTAAAAAGAATGTTTCTATTAAAAAAAAAAAGGGGGGGGGGACACACAATTGTTGAGGAAACGTTAGTCAACTGTTAAGAACATTTTATTTATTTTTTTGTCAAGATAAAAACTATCTTGAGCAAATAAGTAACCTCATTCCAGAAAAGAGAATTCCCTGGAGCAGAGACTGCTTTTTGGCAAGGAGTCATTACTCATTTTATTCAGTAATGAAGAGGCTAAAGAGAAAATGGCTCCTCCCTTTATTTCCTCATTATCTCAGTTGCACTCAGGGAACGTTGAGAGGTGTACATGCTGTTATTCTAATTCAGTACTGGTGAAACCACAGTAATGCTTTCAGGGTTGTTTCCAGAAAGTTCTCTGATGTAGCTGATTCCTGGCAGAGGTGTCTTACATTGAGAGTATCTAGCTCAAAGCCTGCATTTTATAAACAAAGAGGCTGAAACCAGAAAGATTAAGTAACGTTTCCCAAGCCACACTGATAGTCAGAGGAAAGACCCAGCAGTTTTGGTTTACCTCACTGGTTTTCAAACTTTGCAAAAAAAGGAAAAAAAAATGTTTTGAGCAGCTGCACGGTTTTCAAACCCATCTTATCAAGAACCCAGAATACTGAGCCCTTGCTTGAGAAAACAGGTGGGGAGGAAGGGAGGGCAGTGGGTAACAAATCCACAGCTGTTCACCTTCCTAGGACTCTCGGCTGAGGAACATGGTTTGAAAACTACTTCTGTGAGCCAGGCCTCCAGCTGGAGGACTGCAGGGCTGGGAGGATGCGGTCACACACACCACACCCACATATGACTCATGGGATTACAGCCATGTGGGCCAAAGAAAGGTAGAGACAAAGATGTAAATCATGTAGGTATCTTTCAGATTCCTCAATGAACATAAATGCCAGTTGCAATACAAAGCAGGAGACTCAGATTTGCTGCTCTTTGGTTTGTCTTAGTTCCCATGTGCCTCCTAAGAACGTGAGCCCTTCTGTGCCTGTGGGATTTTCAAGGGCAATTTTCACTTCAAGCACTGACTTAGAAACCTAATCCCATAATGTAACTCTCTCATATTTCCTTTGATGTTATCTTTTTTCTTGAGACAGGGTCTCACTCTGCCACCCAGGCTGGAGTGCAGTGGCACAATCAGCCCACTACAGCCTCGCCCTCCAGGGCTCAAGTGATCCTCCTGTCTCAGCCTCTCAAGTTGCTGGCACTAAAGGTGTGTGCCACCATGCCTGGCTAATTTTTTCACTTTTTGTAGGGATGCGGTCATGCTGTGTCGCCCAGATGGGTCTGGAACTCTTGGCCTCAAGTGATCTTCCCACCTCTGCCTCTCAAAGTGCTGGGATTACAGGTGTGAGCCACCATATCCAGTTGTCTTTTTTAAAAAAATCCTACCACTTGGAGATACTTTATATCAAAAAATGCTACATTCTTCTCCTTTTCTTCACTAGCTGTCTCTCAATGAAAACAGTGGAGCTAGCTTTGAAACCATGGGATCATATAAAACAAAATCAGGGTGCAGTGGCACAGCCCTGTAAGCTACTCGGGAGGCTGAGGCAGAAGGATCCCTTGAGCCGAGGGTCCAGGAATTCAAGATCAGCCTGGGCAACACAGTGAGACCCTATCTATAATAATAATAATAATTAAAAACAACCAGAAATCAGCTCAAGACAATCGCCACTCCCCACTTCTCCACCCCACCTGGCATGACCCACTACGGAGTGGAAGGACAGCTATGAAATGTTCCTCTCCCTCATAATGGAGACATATTTTAAAGTGGATTATTATGAAGGAGATTACATTCATCCCACAAAAACAATGTAGCAATGTGGGAGAGGAGCACTACAGCTTTGATGAAGAATTTGGCATCTTTACAGGTATGGCCGAATGTAAACATCAAAGCCAAACACAGTATATAAAAACCATACACCTCTTTTGTAATAATTTTAAACACCATAAAACAGGGATAAATATCCTATCCATATGAACTATAAAAGAACCCCTACTGTATACACACATCTCATAAAAACGCAAACTTGATTTTTTAAACTATTGTGTTAGATAATGAATGAATGTTTAGCAGATTAAGTTTAGATGGGTTCAACACATTTTCTGAATTAAGTCTCAACCTTCAAATATCAGTAACTTTGCTTATTTCTTTATGGCTTACACAGGCTTTTGGGAATGGTTTATTTGGCCCACATTGCTTTTAAGAGTTTTACAAAGCTTTCTGGGGAGATTTACATTGATAGCTTATTATTATTATTATTATTATTATTTTGTATATTTTCTCCTATTTCTGGAGCATCTGCCATGTGCTGCACTAGTGTCCGGGAATGAGGGAAAGGTTTTTGCTGTTCCACGGACCTGAGCCCTGACTGCAACATCATCTGCTGGCTGTTTGACCTTCACAGCTTTTCCATCCCCTCAGCCTCTGTCACCTCATCTGTGAAATAAGGCTGATTCCACTGACTTGGCCAACTAAAAGAGAACACATACAAACTGTCCAGGATCGTACGCTGATGTGGATTAGGCAGAGACTATATTTTTATTTTTTTTTAATGAGTGTATTTTCACTTGGTTCTTACTATCTTTGTTAGCCTGATTTTATAAATTAGGAAACAGGGGTTCTGTCCAGCAAAGAGCTTCACCAATGCCACACCATTAATGAGTGATCAAGGTAGCACTCCAAACCTATATCATCCTCTTCCAGATCCAGGGCTCGTGTCCCTCCCCAAAGCCAGGACACATTGTTAAGGTTCCTTCTCATGGACATTTGGAGAAAAAACCTTTTGAATTTGACCTTTCCAACCTGAGTCTCGCATATTTCTTTGTAAAATGAGGTGTGAGGATCCCTCTTGGCTTCAAAATGCTCTGATTCTAACATCTGATGTTAATGTCTTCTTCAAATCTTAGCATCAAAGGTGGCAGCGGATGCTGGCCAACTTGAAAATATTATACAAAGGCTTTGATTAACTTCAATGCCCATGGAAAAAGGTAATTCACACTTAATCACTAATCTTTGTTGATGGCAATCCTTCTAAAATCTATTAGAGAATAATGAGCAGAATCTAACCTGTCTATGTTATTGTAGGATTTTGGTTGAGTCTGTATTCTCCTAACATTTTAACTCAGGCAAAAAAAAGGCAGTAGATGCATTTGTCTGAATTGACCCAGCCCTGGAAGAGATGCTCTCTGTTAGCCTGTTGAATAAACCCAATTTAGACTTTTTATTTTTAAGCATTCTTCCCTATCACTTCCTCTCCAATCAAAGAAGAGCAATTCTTGATTGGTAAGGATGCCCAAGCATTCAAGGAATTACTACACATGGTTTTTATTATGCAAGTATTCATATGATAACACATGTATCTATCTTTCTTTCTACAAGTCCCAATACAGTTCCCCTGGCAGTTAAGAATTCTGGTAATTTATAATTTATTTATATATCTGAGGACTTTCTTTACCTTGACCTAATCATTTTTAATTTATGCTTTGAATGCACTTTATATAAGAGGTCAAGGGAGAAGCAGATAGGGAAAGGATGTATTTTCAGTATTTTTGTACTTTGTAAGCTTTTATTTTTCAGATTTAGAAAAGTAGCCCTTCAATACCATCAGTTCTCCCCTGCAACTGCTCCAAGGCATAACTATCCAGTACTCCCAGGTCCTGACTTCCCTGTGGCAATACAGGGCAATAATGAAAAAGAGGGCAAGTGTCAGGTGAAGAAGTCATCTGGAGAGGGGGACCAAGTGGCCATTCTTTCCAGGTCACTCATCAAGCACTTACTGATTGCCTCCGATGTGTCAGGCACTGTCCTAGTCACCAAGGGTAAAATGGTAAGCTAAAGAAACAAAAATTCTTACCCTGATGGAAGTTGTATTTTAGTATGGAAGTGGGTAAGACAAACGACACATAAGAAGCACATAATTTGTCAGTAGTAATGTGTGTTGAGGAAAATAAAGCAGGGCATGGGGATGTGGGGACAGTGAGTAGGAGGGCTGGTTAGACAGGGTGGCGGGGCAGGACTCTAATAATGGAAACCTGTGGGGCTGAGAGAAGTTCGGAAGTTAACCACGCAGATATCTGAGAGAAGCACGTCCCAGGTAGAGGACACAGCCAAGGCCAATGGCTGGAAAATGCTTGGTACGAAGCAGAAGAAGCAAAGCCAGTGTGGCAGAGCTAAATGACCAGGCGGGGAAAGTAGGAGAAGTGTCTGAGGGTGAGATTTTCGAGGGCGTTGTGGATCATGGCCAGGACTTTGGATTTTATTCCAAGTGACTTGGGAAGTTGGTGGAGGGTTTAGAGCAGCTGCTACTTCTGTTTTAAGCAGTCACTCTGGCTGCTGGATAAGGAATTAACTGGCTCTGGAAACAGGAGACCAGTAGTGAGTCCAACTGCAATAATCCCAGTCACTGATTTTAGTGGCCTGAGCTAGGTGACCAGCACCAAATGG